GGGGGGCCCAGAGAGAAAGAGAGCCTGCAGATCCCTCAAGCTGCCCGCAGCATTCGTGGCCATGGGCAGTTGCTTAGAGACCAACTTGGTGGCGTGTGTGCGCTGATGTTCGGGAGACCTGTTGTAATTGCTGTAATGTCAGGCCAGTGAGAAGCCTTTGGAGCCATATGCCCACATGGCGCATGCGCTAGGGGGTTGGACGAACTGGTCCTGTGCAGAGGAGACAGATGCTGCTGGAGAGGTATAGCGTCCTGTTACCAGGACAACCAGTGGTGCTTCTTCTAGCTCTCTCCGACAAGACACTGTGGCGCCCCTTCTAGCTCCCCTCTCTCTGTGACAGCGGCGGCATTCTTCCGGTACAGAAACACGCTCTGATCTTCGTGATTTTCTGCCTTTACTCCATCTAGAATGTGAGTCCTGTTATGACCATTTCTTCAACGTTGCATCTTCTTTGTTCTTCACTGTCTGTGTACGACCCCCTCCCACTGATATCCCCCCCCCCCAAACAAACTACACTTCTATACTACTTCCCATACGCCACTACCTTTATTATAAGGTATTGCTGGGACTTTTGTAGTCCCGCATAGCTGGTGGTATTCTGCATTGCTGTATAATCATTACACAGCAATGCAGAGTACTCACCAACTATGCAGGACTGCAAGTCCCAGCAATGCATTATATTTTTAAGTAGGGATGCACCAGTGCCAATACTCATACTCGTGAAAATGCCCCGATACTAAACGCAGATACTGGTGTTCTGTCAAGGACGCCGACGTAGTTGAATTTGCCGACCTCAGCATCTGCGCTTGCACACAGACCTATATTATCGAGGAAACAGGGATTTATTTACAAAGTATTTAGTTTAAATCGTTAATTGTGACTGTTAATAATATTCCATCCATCATTTACTGCCACCCATCATTTACTGCCACCCATCATTTACTGCCATCCATCATTCACTGCCATCTGTCATTCACTGCCATCCATCATATACTGCCGTCCATCATTCACTGCCATCCGTCATTCACTGCCATCCGTCATTCACTGCCATCCATCATTTACTGCCATGGACGGCATATTATTTACGGTCACAATTAACGATTTAAACAAAATAATATTCCATCCATCATTTACTTCCATCCATCATTTACTGCCACCCATCATTTACTGCCACCCATCATTTACTGCCGTCCATCATTCACTGCCATCCATCATTTACTGTCATGGACGGCATATTATTAACGGTCACAATTAACGATTTAAACAAAATACTTTGTAAATAAATGCCGGTTTCCTCGATAATCCTGTCTGTGCGCAAGCGCAGATACTGGGTCAGCGTTCTCGACAGAACACCGGCACTAAATGTTTTAACTGAAGCAGCTGCCTGAGGTCCCGCGCTTGCTGGGGACCTCGGCAGCCTTCCTGTTACCCACACAGTGCCGGGGGGTCCTTCATAGTTTCTAGCACCGGGGCCCTGAAGGTTCTAGTTACGCCTCTGACTCCACACCATTGGGACTGAAATGCACTGACTTTTTCTTCTTGTTTAGCCAATGACGCAGATAAGTTGCACATGTACTGCAACAATAATGAGGGGCACAACTCTTGTCTTATCCCCTCTGTTGCATCCAACATATAGGTGTTACCACTGCCGTCATTCTGCACTTTTGAGATACAAATGTAGCAGAAGTTATCGGTCTTGTTTACACAGTTTCGAGTAGGGATGCACCGATACCGGTATTTTGGTACCGAGTACGAGTACCGATAATTTTTTTCGGTACTCGCCGATACCAATTAACGAGTAACGGAAGTCCCTTTCAGGAAGCCAGGTGGCATGTAATGACTCGCCACCTGGCTTGCTGATTAGCCGGGAAGCCGGGCAGCGTGTAATGACTCGCCACCCGTCTTCCCAATTAACAAGAAAGTCCCCTCTTACCTTAGTATGTGCAGCCTGTCACCCCCGGGGCCTCTCCAGTGAGAACGCGGCCTTCCTCCAGGACCCAGCCGGAGCCGTCTGGCTGGAGTTAATAATATTCCATCCATCATTTACTGCCACCCATCATTTACTGCCACCCATCATTTACTGCCATCCATCATTCACTGCCATCTGTCATTCACTGCCATCCATCATATACTGCCGTCCATCATTCACTGCCATCCGTCATTCACTGCCATCCGTCATTCACTGCCATCCATCATTTACTGCCATGGACGGCATATTATTTACGGTCACAATTAACGATTTAAACAAAATAATATTCCATCCATCATTTACTTCCATCCATCATTTACTGCCACCCATCATTTACTGCCACCCATCATTTACTGCCGTCCATCATTCACTGCCATCCATCATTTACTGTCATGGACGGCATATTATTAACGGTCACAATTAACGATTTAAACAAAATACTTTGTAAATAAATGCCGGTTTCCTCGATAATCCTGTCTGTGCGCAAGCGCAGATACTGGGTCAGCGTTCTCGACAGAACACCGGCACTAAATGTTTTAACTGAAGCAGCTGCCTGAGGTCCCGCGCTTGCTGGGGACCTCGGCAGCCTTCCTGTTACCCACACAGTGCCGGGGGGTCCTTCATAGTTTCTAGCACCGGGGCCCTGAAGGTTCTAGTTACGCCTCTGACTCCACACCATTGGGACTGAAATGCACTGACTTTTTCTTCTTGTTTAGCCAATGACGCAGATAAGTTGCACATGTACTGCAACAATAATGAGGGGCACAACTCTTGTCTTATCCCCTCTGTTGCATCCAACATATAGGTGTTACCACTGCCGTCATTCTGCACTTTTGAGATACAAATGTAGCAGAAGTTATCGGTCTTGTTTACACAGTTTCGAGTAGGGATGCACCGATACCGGTATTTTGGTACCGAGTACGAGTACCGATAATTTTTTTCGGTACTCGCCGATACCAATTAACGAGTAACGGAAGTCCCTTTCAGGAAGCCAGGTGGCATGTAATGACTCGCCACCTGGCTTGCTGATTAGCCGGGAAGCCGGGCAGCGTGTAATGACTCGCCACCCGTCTTCCCAATTAACAAGAAAGTCCCCTCTTACCTTAGTATGTGCAGCCTGTCACCCCCGGGGCCTCTCCAGTGAGAACGCGGCCTTCCTCCAGGACCCAGCCGGAGCCGTCTGGCTGGCCAATCAGGAAGCCAGGCGCCGTGTAATGACGCGACTCCCTGCTTTCTGATTGGCCAGGAGGCCGGCTCCATGCTCCCTCCTCACATAGTGACAAGCACAGGGACAGCTTCCCTGCTAATCGGGAAGCCAGGTGGCGAGTCTTTACATGCTGACTTCTGCTAACTGTATTCAGTATCGGCGAGTACCGGAAAAAATATATCGGTACTCAATACCGAAATACAGATATCGGTGCATCTCTAGCAATGACACTTTCACAAGCCACCAGATGTAACTATGATGGGTAGACCTGACCAAGACAAATGTACCTTGCAATAAACAATGACAGTTAGGTACTAATCTTTAGTCACAAAGTGAAGATACATTTATACACGTCCATGTGGTACCATTTTCATTGTTCTACCGTACTTTGTCGAGAAATTACGAGGCATCATGATCATCAGACACCTCCCTCCCTTGTAGGCAAATATACTCGCCTGCGTATAAATCTTTCTCTTGAAATATTTTGAAAACTTTAGCCAGCCAACCAACCAGAACCTTCATCACTGGTTTTCTCATTCATCTCATCAAAATACAGTCGAATCAACACATTTTATCTCGGAGGTCGATAATTTCCCAAAAGTTGTAGACCAGTGTCGTCTGAGCTTCCTAGGCCGGCTGCGAGTACTGATACCAGTGGATTGTGCTCAGACTGAGGCCTGGGACTAAGGCTCAGTGAGTGAAGCTTGAGGATGGAGGCAACTTCAGTATGCATGAGAAGCCAGGGTTAACTGGTACTCTGCTAAAGCATGGTAATCTCTTCTTTAAATGGACTGGAAGCTATATCATCAAGTATTATAGTCACAGAAAGCCGAGTCAGCTTAAAGTGACACTAAACTCAGGAGTTAAATCTTAATACATTCAAGTACCTTAACTATGAACAAGTTCTCCTCAGTATACACTCAGGAGGGAAACGGGTTTGACACACATGATAAAACTCCCAGTTTAACTCAAAATATACCCCAGTGGTTGACGGAAACCAGGATACAACAAAGACTTAAAATGCTCAATGCAAACAAAGCAGTGGGTCCGGATAACCTGCACCCCAAGGTACTTAAGGAATTAAGCCAGGTTATAACTAGACCATTAATCCTCATTTTTAAGGACTCCTTAATGACTGGTAGGATCCCCAGTGATTGGCGGAGGGCTACGGTAGTCCCAATATTCAAAAAGGGGGCTAGGTGCCAACAAGGGAGCCCACTTTTGTTCCCCGTGGTCCCTGTGTGTTGTAAAGTAGTCACCAGCTCCAAGCTCACTCCCAGGATGGACTACAATCTCATGTTTAGTTTACTCATTTCTATTGAGATTGTAGTCTATCATGGGAGTGAGCTTGGAGGAGAACACACCAATGGCTGTTACATATACAAGCATGTGGCAGCTGTGTTACTATTATAGTATTTATATAGCGCCAACAGTTGCACAGCACTTTACAATATAAGGACGACATTACAATCACAATTCAAGAAAAGGTGGTAAGGAGGGCCCTGCCCCTGAGTGCTTACAATTCAAAAGGGATGGGCCAGTGATACATGAGGTAGCTGTGTGGGTATGAATTGATGGAGAACATGATGGTTGAGTGGAGGTGGGATAGGCTTCCCTGAAGAGATGAGTCTTAAGGGATTGCCTAAAGGCAGAGTGGGAGAAAGACAGGTTGGGGTAAAGAGTCTGTGGATAGGAGAGACTATTGAAGTCATGGGGGCAAGCATGGGAGGAGTTAAGGGAGCTGGAAAGCAGGAGGTCTTCGGAACAGCAGAGGGGAGTTAAATGTTATGGCTAAGTCTCCCTTGTATACGCACATTAAAAAATGTAAATCAGTGTTTGAGTGCGCTGACAATTGTGCTGCAGCTAAAAGTTTAAATTATCACCTTGGGGCAATTTTGGGTATTGTTTTTTTTGCAATGTCATAGGCAATTTTAAAGCTTGATGTGTGTCAATTTGTCTTGATTTTGAAGGGCACTACCACTTTAAAACCCAAACCTAGATTACTAGTTGATTATTTGAATAATTGTATATTTCACTAGGGGTTCTACAAGATACACCAATAGCCTCAAGTTCTGCCCATTAGACATTCCCCTTCAATATGTTACAGAAACCTCTGACAATACACACAAGTCATGTACAGATCTCTCAGTAAACCCCAATGTTACAGGAAAACAGCAGGAAAGTATATTATGCCATCTATAAATAAAAAGAGACCAGATTACATGAGAATTGTTTTATTGTTCCACAGACACATTGTGTGGCTTTTTCAGAGACTTCCCAATGGACACGCCACATACAAGGACAACCAGAACACTGAGACATCCGACGACCACCAACACCCAGAGCTCCATAGGGGCAGAATCTTCCTTTGTCATTTGAAGTGCAACATCACTTTGTTTTGGCCCAGTCACAAGCAGAGGTCCCAGAGTGGTCACACTTTGTCCACCTTCCATGTGGGGTTCTGTAGGAGAAAAAACATTGGGGGTCAAGAGGCACATACAGATTTCTGTACACTTCCATGCTATTAAGAGATTAGTAAAGTTGTATTGACTAAGTGTGTAGAAAGTTAAAACCCATTATAGACCTATAGTCACATGAACCAAGAGTTGAACAGAATTGGGGGGGGGGTACCCCCCCAGATTTCTATTGCCACAGACATTCCACTCCTAGTCAGATTATGTGGCAAGTGAGGAAGCGTATCGATTGGGAGCACAAAGCAGCCATTGGGATAAGCTTTACCCCATATTGCTACCCTTGTGCATCTCTGAAGTCTATTTCTAGAGATTACCTACTGCCATACATTACACTGTATATACCAGATGTAGGTTTACTCACCATCCAAGGCTTCCCTCTTGCCAAATGCTCTCGGTCTTCCAAATCTGGTCCTTCCTCCTGTCATCAGATTAGGGTTGCTGCAGGTGCCTGTTGTCTGACAACACTGGCAGATATCGCTGGGGCCCTCAACTGCAGACCAGCTAGAGAAGACAAGCAATTGTCAGTATCACAGACTACATTTTAAGAACAAATGTAATTTTTTGATAAAAGCCACACAGCTGTAAAATGGATTGACTTTGTTATGAATAAAAACTGCTCATTCCCAGCACATATAGTGCACTAGAGGTACAGTGACAAGTGCCTAATAGAGACATCTGAGGCTACATCCTTTCTATTCAGACAGCCGGCCGCTGGATACCAATCCGGTGCTATCCGGTGGCCGGCCACTGTGCTCCCCAGGCTGAGGTCCCGGTGCGGGAGCACCGGCGGTAGTTTCATCACTGCCTAGAGGTACAGTGACAAGTGCCCAATTGAAGCACATCTGAGGCTTCATCCCTTCTATTAAGACATGCATTCAAGCACTCCAGTCTGGAAGTGAACGGTGCTTTCAAGCCCTATTGACATTACTCTTCCTGCACAGAAAGTTCTACTCGACTAAAAAGTGATGCTCTAAGCAGTGCTCATGGTGGCACTAAAAATTAGGTCACATCTAATTTTTGGCAAGATTAGGTGCTTGAGTGACAGGATACCAGGTGCCAGCACAGCTTATTTTAAGGTGGTGGGGGGGCGTAGTCCTGATCACCCTGGTGGGAATTTGCAGCCAACACCAAGGTGTCCCTTTTGGGACCGAGTAGAAGCAAGGCACTATTCCCATATGGACTTTGCCGGTACCTGAGGGTCTCAGGTGTGACTGCTTGGGTAAGATGTTTCTACCTAGAAAGCCCTGTAACCAGTGTAAAAATGGAAAGTTCACAACAAGGCACAAAACTTGTGGGGTGGGTGATTTAAAACATGAGTGCTGGTAAATTGTACTAAAATCAGAATGAAAATGTGTAAATAAAAAAAATGTTAAAAAGCACTCGCTTACATTTGAATTGGAGGGCCGTGGGAAAGGTAGCCTCACAGGAGGATCGAGTGGTCCATGATCAGGGGCTGGAGAAATCTCGGAAGGTGCCGGTTGTTGGAGAGTAAAGAACTGAGAGGCGGGGGGAGGTGAGGCAGTACAGAGAGTGTCCGTGTGACTTCTGTATGATAGGAGTCGGGACAATGTAATGTTAGGTATGGGTCACTTGTGCTTCAGCTGTGCAAACACCTGTCCCTGCAGCTGACAGGACAGTGTTTAAAACAGAGAGCGGTCCTGTCTCTGGAAGTCAGGTGGTGGCGGCGCATGTAGCGTCTGGCCGTGTGTGCGGGAGAACTGTTAAAAAGGCTGTGGAGGGCAGCTTGCTATACGAGTCGGGTAGAGAAGGGACTCTGAAAACACCGGGGAGCAATGCGTTTCGAGGAAACCTCTTTCTCAAGCTCCAGCCGGCACCTTTCAAGATTTCTCCAGCCCCTGATCCTGGACCACCCGATCCTCCGTGATGCTACCTTTCCCCATGGCCCTCTCCAATTCAAATGTAAGCGAGTGCTTTTTATTTACACATTTTTCATTCTGATTTTAGTACAATTTACCAGCACTCATGTTTTAAATCACCCACCCCACAAGTTTTGCGCCCTGTTGTGAACTTTCCATTTTTAAGCAAGCACAGGTCCTCCTACTGTTTTTCAGGGCAGCATACTGTTCACACTAAGCCCACTTCCGAGAGCGCTGTCTGTTTACTTGTATCACCTGTAACCAGTGTTCATGGTATAGGAAAGACCCTGGTAGACAGCAGTGACTGCCTGTGCACCATTACAGCCATCAATATTTCCAGCTGCTTACACCATTAGCTTTTGGAAGCAGCGGCTATGGCCCAGTAAATTCAGTAACCAATGGACAGACTACCATTTTAATACATTCTCACCCATTTGTGGCTTTGCTATAGGAACAGGCCTTGTTCATGGAATCCGGGACCTGGGTGGCTGCAGCAGCTCTCAGGTAACAGGTTATGTAGATCTAAAGGGAAAGATTTTAATAGGTTATCAGTTCTTACAAGGCATCCCATCTGTTGCAACAGCTCAAATCCTCACCAGAGATGCATCATTTCCTAGGAAGTGGAAGACATCCACTGTGAACCGTAGGTTGTCTGGTTTGACCCTTGGAGTCATGAAGGCTGCAGAGGAGTCTTCTTGCATTCCATCTACCAGACACCTGTAGAAGATGGTCAGTTAGACAGTGGAGTCATTGGCGCAAGCCCCTCCCCTTCCCAACAGGGTTCATTAGAGCAATGACTTTCCCCAGATATTACAACATACCCATGGTCTGTAATGATGTCATAATTAGGAGAAGAGTCGGCATCAGGAGATATGGTGGCCACACATCGGTCAATAAACAGGATCAGGCCAATATGGTTCTGAGTGTCTACAGAGGCCTCTATGTAGAGAATATCTCCCAACTGAAAGACTGAAGAACTTCTAGGGCCACTCCAGTCCTCTGCAGGCATAACAAAAATTAGCAAGTCCCAACTGCAATCCATCCCCCCCTTCCATCTTCCTCAGTCAACTCACCAGCCATCAAGTGCAAAGAAAAGGACAGCCTCTCTTCTGAGGACACTGTGGTGCTGAATGGAAGCCATGTTGGCTTAATGGCCTTGCTGCTCACATTACCATGCCTATACAGAGAACAGAAGTGTCAGTAATGAGTCATGAGCTATAATCATGGAATTTCACAGATCTATATTGCATTTTAAAGGAAAGTACCATCTTCAAGGGAAAATTATCAGTATGATAGCCCCCATTGTTTACTTAAATATAGTTCTGATCAGGCTTGCAACAGTTAGTTGACATGAAGCTATCATGAATGATGCCAGTCTACATTGGCTCCATTCTTGTTGCCTGACAAAGACTCAAAATGCCTGAACCTCTAAAATTTTGAGAAAGCAAGGAACATACAAAATTTTCCCCAGGCTGGTTTTAAGACTAGTATTGGTAGCATGATAATCCCTGTACTACCAAAAAGGTAGTTGAGATATTCCAGATGTTAAAGATGGTAGGTCCCACTCTTGTCCATGAGGCAGTCTAAAGACATGGAGACTCATAGGGAACCCATCATTGTCAATGCTAATCCTAGTTTTAGCCAGCAACAGATATGGTTTAACACTGCAGCAGAAAAGCTAGGTTGTAGGTACAGGCTACAAGTCGATAGATGGAGTCAATAGTTAAAGCATACCCAAGCCAAAAACTTTACAGCCCATTTAGGCTTTAGTTCTTCGAACAGGTTGCCAAAAAAAGAATATATAGGAATAGGACATGGGCCAAGCACATCTGGATAGTGGTGCACTGCCTGCAAGAGTTAGATTGCCCACCATTCAGAATGATTTTACCACAGACTTAAATGGGCCACAGGCAGTGGTGTATTTTGGTTTTGTGCTGCCCCAGGCAAGACTAAACTCGGGCACCCCCCTCAATCTAAATTTGCCCCACCCCTTCCTGTTTAGGACATTTTGCACAACCTGTCACTGGATACAGCACACACCGGGTTTCGGGAGAGCTGTGCAGGGTCCCTTTCCCTGCATACATGTGCTGCTCCTCTTACCTGCAGCTCAAAGTGCCATCAGTACCAACAGGATACATTGCACTCCCCAGCCTGCTTCTGGGACATCCCACCATCAGATCACGTTATGGCCAGCCCTGAGCCACCTGCTGCTTCTCCTCCATCTCCTGCACAAAGCCAGCCGGACCACATCTGACTGGGCCCTCCCCTCCACCAGCCAGCTCTCTAATTAGTCAGCAACTCTTAGTGCCTTGCGGCCGCCTAGTTTGCCTCATTAAGCAGCAGCTGCTGCCTGATCCTGTTCCGCCAAGCCTTGGCCCACCTGGCAAGTGTCCAGTATGCCCAAAGGCAAATCCAGCCCTGTCCTACTCATTGGTTTGTGGTGTTTTCTGCCACCCCCCTGAAAGTGCCGCACTAGGCAAATGCCTAGTTTGCCTTGCGGTAGATACACCCCTGGCCACAGGTTTAAGAAATTAGAGAATGTTAGAACCTCTGCTAGGTCCATATTGGTCAGTGTTCTTGATCGGATTAGTAGCAACTCACTAGGACTGAGTGAGGGAAAGCCATTAACCCAAGTGATCACCAGAAAAAGCTTGGATGCCTTTCCCTAATGGGCACTTGTTCCAGTGACATCATGGGGGATATACATTATTGGAAAATACTCACTTCAAAGCAGGATGAGAAAGGAAGTTTTTGAATGGGAGAGACGGCAGAAAACCTAACTGGGGTTTTAACTGTCCCCTACTCTCTCCAAATGTTTTCAGTTCAAGCTATTGACTAGTAAGGATGCAATGCTGTTAGCTCTGCCCCATCCTAGTGTAGACTCACCGATAGTAGTAGCACATTATGGGGACCACAGCTGGGTTGGTTCGGACGATTGGAATGGAGGAGGTTGGGCTGTAGGTCAGGCTGGTGGTGTAGACCACCCAATCTTGAGACATCTGCACAGAAAAGTAGCATGTTACATTGATTTGGCTGCTCTACACATGAGACATTGTTAACATATCCAAAGACTAGTCATATCATAGCAATAAGGATTCAGCAAGTATTACCGATTACGATTCACAAGCTTCAGGTCAGTGACTCAGCTAAACAGCCTGATTAAGATAAATACCAGATCCCATATCTTTTAACAGGTTCACAAAAAAAAAAAATTTGAAGACCCATCACCAATTAAATAAACACATCATGGTCAGGGAAGTAAAAACATTATCCCCATTTGTAGCCCCCTGATATATATTCAGAGAACCAGAGCAGAATTCAGGAACAAGGCAGTGGGCAAACATGGAGAGTCAGGTCTGGGCTCATCTAAGTGAACATCAGATACAGTAGCCCATAAAGACCAGATTTCAGGTTTACTAAACCCAAGAAAAAATATGCAGAAAAGATACTTTGCTGCGCTAATCTATATAGAGAATAAATAAAGTTAAGCTCTAGTTGTTGCTATAGAGATCACCGAAGTTACTGGAACACATACAAAACAACGAGAAAGGAAGGATTTGGAGTGCAAATATTAAAGAAAGTTACCTGCGCAGTGTTGCCACAGTCCTGGAGGCTAATCTGGAAGATTACCATGTTGTCGGTACTTTGGGTGCTTGGCTTGCATTGTTGGGCTCCCAGGCTCAGATCGGAGGGTTTTACTAGCTTTCCATTCCCATACAAATCCCTCTGGACACTGACCTCCATGGTGTCCTCTCCACACTGGACACTGACAGGGGAAGTTCTAGTCTGTGGTTGCTGTCGGAGCATCCCACCTGGACGTCCAGCAGATAAACCCCACTGAGCCCCAGCTCTGGAAGCCCCAAACCCAAGCACAGGCTCATTACTGTCCCTATAAAGCTCTCTGGAACCCCATCTAGAAGGAACCTGGGCAGGTACAGCCCGCTGGTAGTTCCTCCACCAATCTGACTGGCGACTATGTCTAGCTAAGACATCATCTCCAGCACAACCAAACCCTGGCCCATAAACCAGTGCAAGCAGCAACATCCAACTACAGCAGCTCCTCATCCTTAAGCCCATCCTGTCTGCAAGAGGAACTGCAATAGGAGTGAGTTAGAGAGAGTTACCATTTATACCCCTCCCAGCAGCCACTAATACCCCAGCTGGGGCAGATCATTACCACACCCAGTTGGCTGGCTCATTCAGCATTAGGGGTAAGATACATGGTTGATTCTAATCTGTTGCTGCTGAGAGATTTAACCACTTGCTGGCATTCACCTCACTGGAGCTACACAGGGGAATTTTATTAGCTCAATCCTGTTACTAAAACCATTCATTTCAATGGGGGGCCTTAATGCAACAAACATTAACACCCAAACGTCTCCTGTGTAGCTCTAGTCCAGGGGTCTCCAAACGTTTCAGTACAAGGGCCACATTGTATATTTTACAACTATTCAATGCATAGCCCTCCCTTGTATCTAGGAATGTCCAGCAGAGCACCCCCACATACACTGCCAGCCAGCTGGGGGTCACTGTGGACCACATAATATCTTGTAGCATGCCACATGTGGCCCACGGGTCATAGTTTGGAGAAACCAGCTCTAGTCTTAGGACTCATTTACACTGTTTTGCGCCTGTTTCAGAGCCTTTTGCAACAATGTGTTGTATGCGTTATGGGGCGCAAACCCAATGATGTCCATAAATGAACTCAACTTGAAACACCTATGTTGCAAAGAAAATTGCCATGTGTCTTCTGGTCCATTGACGCATGTTTAGGGCCCATTAAAAATGTATTCAGACCATGCAATGGACGTCATCATGCCAAATAATGCGTGCTGGCTAATGTTGGAGGACTCAGGCGAACTGGGAAGTTGCACCAAACCATCGCACATCCTTAGTATCAACACATGCAACATGGGAATGAGCCCTTTGCATTACCATTCATTTCCATGGACCCCAGGACGCACACTGACCCTGTAACATACATGCTGTGCTCTCTGAATGAGCTCTATCACTGGGAGCCACTTAGATCTTGCTTTGCTGTAATGTCTTATTTATTATTACTTAAAGTCAGTCCATCCTAAGCTGAAGTTTTGGGCGTCCACATGCACCTTTGTGTGTTCTCAGCTCTTCCTGTCACATTCTGGGTAATATATATTAAAAAAAAAAATCCAGAAGGGATGTCGAGAACCTCTTATAATGAGCACAGCTGGTGTACAGACTCGGGAGCTTAGCTCAGGGATGGTGGGAACCTCTCATAGAGGGCACAGCAGATGTTTAAAGTCAGAAACTTAGCACAGGCATGGTGGGAAACATAATGGCTCCAACAGGTGTACAGACCTGGGCAAGGCCAGCTTTAACGCAGGGCAAAGAGGGCACTTGCCCCGGGCCCAATAAAGGTTGTGGGGCCCGAAGCATCTGCCCCTTGAGCCCGCTGCCCGCAGAAAATTGCCGATCGGATCGCATAGTATAATACGTTATGGCAGCGGCCGCATACGGCAATGCCATAACGTATTGTCCTATGCGATCTGCACGATCGCATCCTAAAGGTAGCTCCTCCCCCGGCCCCCACCCGCATAGCGTGACATGTCACGGGCTTCCCTCGAGGACGTGAGGCTGTGCAGACGGGTGCCTCACTCACGTCCAGGACATTCGGAAAGAGGCAGACTGGCACGAGGCGAGGACTGACTGAGGCAGGTAGGTGAGAAAATAAAAAAGGAGAAATATAAAGGAGATATACAATTTGTATATCTCCCTGAAAAGCTCACTCCATTTCTGTTCTGTCCTTCATAGATATGTGAATAACATGATTGATAGAATTACAATGCATGATAGTAGAAAGCCATGATTAGACATAATTAACATGATTAGATAATCAGACTTAACAGAGACATGATTGTTTGTAATTTGACATGATACAGTGTTTTTGTAGGTTTAACAGAGGAGGAGCCTAGTTTTCTCTCAACGTTTTGCGCTTAGGGGCGCTGTAATGGATGTGGTATATATTCTTCAGGAGAGGGAGGTTGTCATTCAAATGGGTCAGTGTGTGTGTGCATCTCTGCAGGGCCGTCCAGGCACAGCACCTGGTCACAGTCACCGAAGCAGATGAGGGGAGAGAGGCCCGGACCACGAATCCCACACAGAGCAGCATAACCTGAGAGGCATCGAGGGTAGCCAAAAGTCCTGGAACTGCTTATTTCCCCGACCAGAACCGAGGGGTGTCCGTCCTCCTCTCACTGTGGAGCCCCCAGCATGTTGCACAGTCGGCCCGGGCTGCACATTTGAATGACAACCTCCCTCTCCTGAAGAAGCGCCCCTAAGCGCGAAACGTTGAGAGAAAACTAGGCTCCTCCTCTGTTAAACCTTCAATAACGCTGTATCATGTCAAATTACCAACAATCATGTCTCTGTTAAGTCTGATTATCTAATCATGTTAATTATGTCTAATCATGGCTTTCTACTATCATGCATTGTAATTCTATCAATCATGTTATTGACATATATATGAAGGACAGAACAGAAATGGAGTGAGATTTCCAGGGAGATATACAATCATGTTGTCATTTTTTAAATTTTTTTTTCTTGGTGGGGGGACCGGGGGGACCCCCGGAAAATGTTTGCCCAGGGTCTGATCAATATTAAAGACGGGCCTGGACCTGGGAACTCAGTGCAGGGATGGTGGGAGCTCCTCCTAATAGGCACAACATGTGCTCAGACCCCAAAATTCAGTACAGGAATGCTGGGAGCCCCTTATAATAGCCACTGCAGGTGTGCAACGCTGGAAACTGAGCACAGCAATGGTGGGAGTCCCTCATAATGGGCAGAGTGGGAGTACAGACCCAAGAATTCAATACAGGGATGGTGGGAGCTCTTCATAATGGGCACAGGAGGTGTGCAGAGCCCAGAACTCAGAGGGCACTATAGAAATCCTCCTGGTTTAGTGTAATGTTGTCAGCAATGTGCACTAAACACTAACACGTTGAAATCTTCTGCCAAGTTACCAGAAGTGATGTTTTGGAACTACATTTTGGCTTCAACATGCTACTGACATTTTACACCTTTCCATTACATACATTATGTTAGGCCTAGTGATGTCACTGGGCCTCTAATGCAGGCAGATCATGATGGGGGGTGGGCAGGGTGCAGTATATAGCTTCCTGAAAACATTTCAGCACCCTGCCTCAGTACCCTTCGCTAAAAGCCCTGATGCAAATTGCCATGTTGAAGGGCAGATTTGCCCACAGTTGGATTTCACTGGAAGAAAGTGCTGACATTCAGGGGCATGTTATGACAAGACTGCACAGGTTGATGCATTTATAGTTTCCTGTGCTAGGGTAACACTACTTCATCTATGGAAGCAAAATTGCCCAACTATGCTAGGACTACAAGCCCCCACCCTCTCTAAAATGTGTTCTGTAGCCCTCAAGATACATTTTTTTCCAACCAGCTTTGAAATAAAGCTCAAGCAGTTATGTTTTTTGCACTTATTGAATAGATCTGTACCATTGAAAGTTGTTTTTTTCGGACCAAAAGTTGGTTTCAAGGTTATACGCTCAACATGAGCTTAGACCACTACACAAGTATCGAGCTAATTTGTAATTCAGTCCCCATCCAGAACTCTAGTCTTGTATAGAAGGTTTTAAAAAAAACTAAGTTGTGGTTCATCACCAGTATAAAGACTTCAATTGCTTTAATCCCAGAAGAAATGAGGGCAGAGTCAACCTAATGCGGACAAAGACCACAAAGAATAGGGGGGAGGAGGTCTACCACTTAAACTAGTAATCCAGGGATGGGTTTATCATGTTATAGTAGACTTGGGATTCTACAAGATTTCCCAATAGCCTCAAGTTCTGTCCCATTAAATATTTATTTTCAATAGGCATGCTGGAGAAACCTCTGACAATACACAAGACCTATACGGATCCCTCAGAAAACCCCAATGTTACAGTGAAAGTACAGCAATGTTCTCCTGTGCTGGGATAGCACTTAGCGGGAAGGTGGAGCGCTACAGTGGTCCAAAAGTTGGTTAAGGTTATACGCTCAACATGCTTAGACCATTACACAAGTATTGAGCCAATTTTTAATTCAGTCCCCATCCAGAAGACTAGTTTTGTGTTATATCTTCCTTTACCCTGTAACACTAGGACAAGTCACATGATCATAAGGTCACAAGGACAGTAAGCCTCCAGCCCTCCCACAACAACTTAAGTTGTGATCCATCACCGGTGTAAAGATTCCCACTGCTTTCATCACAGTAATTATTAAGGGCAGAGTCAACCTAATAAGGACAAAGACCACAAAGGGGGCTACCACTTAAAATCCAAACCTGGATTATCAGTTTATAATTTAATACATTTCATATTACATGTGTTTCTACAAGATATACTAATGGCCGCACATATGGAATACAACTTTCCAGCTTTGTTATCAAACACAGGTCTGAATACCACTTCATAGGCAGGAGCCGACATGGAGGATCCACAGCAGGCCTCGCAGCAATTATACCAACATACAGGAAAATAAAGTTGCTGAAACCAGGGACCAGCAGTCTGGGACAGCCATTGTGACCATTACCTCATGCATGCTTGAAGTCTTTTTTGTTAGGAATTGTCTCACCACCTAAACCACATCAGAAGTGAGTAATTCCTTCTTTTTCTTTTCTTTGATACTGAGTATTTGCTTGCCTAACACAGCGCTTGTGTCCAATATCAGTGACTCTTTGTGACCATCACTAACGGTCACTAGATTCTCATCTACATCAATCAACACAGGGCGATATCAGGGAGGACTTGTTTG